GGAGATAATTATTTGTACGCAAGGCCAGTACCGGCTAGTAGGATGAAAGAATAAAATGGATTGGTGAGAGAAAAAAATCTGAGGTAGAAGGGCTGCTGAGACTTGGGGGAATGAATGAATGGGACTATGGGAGGGGCGTTGTTATTACTTATTAGTTTTAGTAAATACCCAAAAAAAAAAAAACGTAAGGCCGAGAGAAATTGTGAGGACGGGTGCCGTGGCGTTAAGCAACAGTTACAGGGGCAGTGTCGTCACCAACAAAAAGAAAATTTGCTAGTGGCAGGGATAAAAAGGGACGGTGCCTGTGGGGTGGGGGCCGGCGTTAGGTGGGGTACCCTATGGCCGCAGGGGTAGGGTGATTTTCGTGTTTCAACTGCTTGCCTTTGTCCTTGCTTCAATTGGCAGCTAGGAAGGTTGTGGCCTCGTGTGCTACTCTGCCTTGGGGCCGGGCAGGGATCGGTTTTAAATTGATCCCGCCTTTATTAAAGTGGATCAGGAGGCGTCCTGCTGGTGAATTAGTAGTGTATTATCCTACTTTTTCTTGCTCGTTTGCTTTCTCTTTTATTATGTCTTCTGAGATGCCACTACCCAAGAAACAGCTACTCCATACTTTTTCTTGCTTGCTTGCGTACTAACTCAAAAGTGTTACTAGTTGCGTAGGCGTAGTTATAATCAAAGTGTCAATCATAACCCAACTCATTTATATTTATCCGTTCAAATGTGTTGCTCGGTAAAAAGTAGATTTAGACATGTAATAAATTTTGAATGGATTTAGATGGATAAATCGTGCGAACTTATTTAATTCGTAGATATTAGGTTAACTCGTATTATGCATCTAAGCCCCGTTTAAAAGCAATTGCACATCTAAACTCAATTTTACATGGATGTTACGCGGATAAATTTAAATCTCTAACTAATTCAATAACAATAATATCGAGCTATGTGGTCAAACTAGTTTGTGTTGATCCATTTTCTCCCATTGCATGTGCACAAATGCAAAGCACAATTTGAAAGTACCAAATACGGAAGACTATAGCTCTAACAAATTTATACTGCATCCAAATTATATGATGGAAAAATACTCGTACTCTATGTGTCATGGTTACATGATGGATTGCCGCTTCTATTCTATGCAGTATATTTTATAGCCACATGGTGTAGTGACGCATAGTCGATAACGATGTAAGAAAACTAATCTTGAGATTCACACACACGAACTATTGTTCTTTATACTACATACTCTACAAATGAATCAGTAAATCAAGTTCAACTTAGGTTAGGTTGTGTTTGATAAAACTGAAATTTAAAATCTAAATCTATTAAATTATTGAATGATTAAGTATTAAATCAAATATATTTGAGCGTATATCGTATTTATTGATAAATGAATAGTTTGTTACTTATTTTTTGGAATAAGATTTGCCTAAGAAATTAAATATTACTTAATTAATTTAGATATTTAAGTTTTTGTTATCAAACGCATATTAAAATTTGAATCTATTAAATTTAAGTGATAAATTGACTTCTCGGATATGTAGTATTTGCCAGTTATAATGCGTAATACACAAATTTATGGTTCCCGAGTATTCCAACTTTTCATTCATAAAGCGGACGACTAGTTTTTATTTCCCAAGGAAAGCATCCCCTTACCTAAGAACACGAAAAAAAGAAAAAAGAGAGAGAGGTTCGTTGTATTGTGTGTGTGTGCGCGCTATTCTTCAAAGCTTTTAGAATTTGTACGAATTATAAAGTTCAACCTACTCATTGGATTTTAAGATATAGTAACAAATAACCTCCGGCATTAACAAACTTTTCATAAGTTGCTCTGTTATTATTTCAATCAATCTCCTTTTTATTGTTTCTGAACAATTTTATGAGACAACACTGTCTTAACGGGGATGGTTTAAATTAAATTTCTTAATGTTGATTGATCTAAATTTTCTATTGATAGGAGATTATTTGGAATAAATTTTTGTTTTAAAAAAAATACTGTAACGCTCTTTTGATATGATATACGTGAGATTAAAAAATATATTGATGATTCCAATAAATCAATTTGCGCAAATAAGGTGCAAACCAAACAATACACTATTTCCTTTCTGGAATTGAAATAGGATAAATGCTGAAGGAGGATACCGTATACGTACTCTGGGATCTGGACCGACATTCATTGCCGCCGTCGGTCGATTGGGAAGAACGCAGTCTTTGCTGGCATTTAACATGACGGCGATGGAAAACGGCATGCGTATGCATTCTAAGGCTAATTGAGGACCGGCGTAATTGGTTCCTTGAAATTCAGGGCACAAAATTTTGGTTATTTAGCTTTTGATTTTGATACTTGAGCCTGTTTGGATTGCCATTTCTTTGAAAATTTTGTACTATAATAACGATAGGATATATTTGTATGGTGGAAATATGATGATTAAGAAATGAGTTCAGAAAAAAAATGGCAATCTGCCAATTTCGTAGGGTAAATTTGAAGACTGGAAATGGGGTAAATTCGGTGTGCTCAGGTGGCAAAACACGTTTGTCCTTGCCTGGCCTTCTTTCCTGTTGGCTGAGATATTTAGGTTGGCCTTTCTCCTCTATGAAAGTTCGTAACACGTGCGGTTGTACTTGCTGTCCTTAACTTCTTGTGCGAGGATGATTTTTACTAATCTAATAATGAGCTTGAAGCCTTAATCCACAAACGTACTTTTCAGAGAAGAGAAAAATTAAGTCATGATTTGATCTATTGGTTGACAGAAATCTAACAGGGGGTACAGATTTATAAATGCTGAAATGAATGCCCTGTTCTTTTCGTTTTTACATGCTTCAGGCTTTGGCCAAAGCAATGTGGGGTCTTGATTAATTAGGCATGGCCAGTGGGACCTCTTCATAAAGATTTGGAGGTTACTTAGTATCATTTGGAACTACAATTATTAGCACCTGATTAATGTTGATCAGGTAATCGCAAACAAGAATAACGGTGGAAGGTAATTGTAAGAAGGCGGGCCCAACTTTTGGTTCTTCCTACGTGTCACGGTGTAGGGTACAAGTTTCGTCTATACCTACAGAGTAATTGACCATCACACATCTTGTCTTTTGTGGGACGAGAGAGGTCAATGATTCAAACATTTTCTCTCACCCAAAGTTATCACTTAATTTAATTTCAATTAGATCCATACGAGTACGTTGGCAGTTTATTTCATGTAAATTTCTCGTGACCCTGTTGTGGAGGGTCATCCCTCTCTAAAATAGATTAAAATACGTGTCGATGATGACAATGAAAAAGGAAAAAAAGAAAATAAAAGAGAAGAGCTCTCAAAAAAAAAAATATATATATATATATATATATATATATTTTTTTTTTTTTTTGGGGAATTAAAGATGTATGAACAAAATATTCATTTCTTGAGTTTCAAGTGATTTTGTTTGCCAACCTTTCCTCCATTTGGGAGGAAATTTCCCTTTCAATAGACATATCACTTTTTATCCGTCTCTCTTTTTTTAATTTAACTTTTAATCTTTTTTGTTGGGATTTTCTGTAACACCCTGGTCCATGCAAATCTCGATTGCTTTTGTCATTGGAGATTAGATGGACATGGGTTGTCTTTGCACACTGCTGTAGAGGTTCCAGAGCAGAGTAAAAAAATAATAATGAAGAAAACAGCAAAGCCCATGCAAAATCAAATACAAAAGCCAACTCTGTACTGAGGCCATGCACGGGAGACTCCTGAATTGTAATTAAACTTCGACAATAAATAAAATTTGCATCGAGGCCGTGTAGGAAAGACTACTCTGATTTCTAAAATTTGCAAAATTTCAGCATTATCAGTTCAATAAACTGTAGAGCATTGGCGGCCTCATAGCAACTGGGCTCTGTATATTGGGCTCAATGCACTTCACTCAACAGCGAGGACCAAATAAGGCACCAAGGATTGTAGATTTTGCACATCCTTCATATTTCAATTGCTCTTCCATTTAAATTAATTAAGCGATTGTGAAAGCTAAATAATTTGAAAAGTGTATTGGAATTTGTGTTGAAAAGCATTTCGAAAGTTGATTTGTGTTTATCGTAGTCAGCTCTCATTTGAATTGTTATTTTTTGAACTTTCAATAATAAAAAATACATGTAGTATCGATTTGTTTGGATTGCATTTTTCTGGATTTTTTGTATAAAAATTACTATAGCGATTTGATATATATGAGATAAAAAGGTGATTGAAAAATGTTCTCATGAAAAACGTAGTAATTTTTTTTTAAAAAAATTGCAATCCAAACGCACCCTAAATATATGTAAAGTAAAAAAAAAAAAAAAAGTTTGAGAAATGTGGTTACAAAAATCTAAAAATTTGTCTACAGAAAAGTCTAGTCCAAACAAGTTAGTGCCTGGCTGAGAAATTATTAACCGTGGACTGAAGGCAAGCACAATCTTAATAATTGTACCTACTTTTATGTTCCTGATTTGACAGTAGCTACTTTTTTTTTTTTTTTTTTGGTAAGGCTCAGGATAAATCATGTCAATCAACTCACACGACACACCCTAAAGATCTACTTTTGACAGCCCGAAACCAGTAACTAATCCAACGTGTAACTCAATTACATCAAACTTTTACCTTCATGAATTATGAGTAAGAAGACAAGACAACCCTAGCTGCTGCATCTGCATGCATCAGTTGCTTTTTTAAATTCCAGTTTAAACCTCTCTCAGGTTTGTTTGGATTGTGTTTTATTTGAAATATTTTTACTGTAGCATTTTTTATGATATGATGTGTGTGAGATAAAAAGATAATTAGCAAGATAAAAAGGTGTATTGAAAATTATAATGATGATGTAAGCAAATAAAATTGGAAAAATAAAACACAATCCAAACAATCATACCAGGAATATTGAGTGTGTTTGGATTATAAGTTATTTGGTCAAATATATTTGCTTACATCATCATTATAATTTCTAATACACTTTTTTATCTTTTCAATTATCTTTTTATCTCATATACATCACATCACAAAAAATGATACAGTAAAAATATTTCAAATAACTTACAATCCAAATACACTCATTAATTATACTACAACCTACAAGCCAGGAATATATAATTGAAATTTTTGAGGTTTATTATCACAACAAGCATTCGTGTTTTTTGTGTTTGTTGTGTATATAATGATACTTGCGCCACTACAAAGCTCTATAAAAATCCCTAAAGAAGGCACCCATCGCTTCGTACTCTCTACTTGCTCTAACCATCGCATTGGACCGTAAGAATTCCGGAAAAAATAGCCAAAAGCCTGTAACCATTACGAATCCAACGGTCAACGGTGCCGCAATTATCCGTGGCAACCCTCTTTCGCCCGATAGGCCGCGGTACTTCTTCAGTGCAACCTCGACCACTAAGCACACCCCATGGAGCAGGAAAAAACAGGAAATCTCCCAAGTCGGCCACCTTCGGCCCATGTAAAAGAAAATCAACTCGTGCATCACAGCAGAAGCAATAAACGTGGCCAAAATCGCTGGTAGAGGGGCCCATTTTCGGCCCGTGAGCCGTTGAGAAAGATTAAGTGCCGGCAGGTAGACTGACGGACGGAGTGCACGTGTCACCATAATATTCCATCTCCTTCCCCAGAAGTCTTGAAGCGAGGTGGACAGGTATGGCTCGTCGAATTGTGGCTCAAGTTCTATGCCCAGACTGGCTCGAGCCAGACCTCCAACTATGGCGAGCAAAGTTTCCAAACCAACGTAGATGTGGATAGCGTATACGACCAAGGTGAGCTTAGGGTGGATATGGTCCTCGTAATCATAAGCTTTAAGGAACAAAGGGATGAGTAAAAGTTTGATCCCATAATTCCACAGTGATTTCAGGCCTTTCTGGGTGGTTTTGGTAGAAGGGTTGTTTTGATGACGGGCTTTGATGGGGAGGCAAGCAAGGGCAAGAAAATGGGGAAGAGATAAGGAGGAATCTGATAAAGGGCCTTTGCCAAATGCAAACATGAGGAGCTTGAAGTTGCAAAGCCAAGCTAAGAAGAAAGCACTTGAAACTCCAAGATGCAAGGTGTGAAGGTTGAGAGGGAGGAGAAGGTTGAGAAATACAACAGGAAGTGTTGTTAAGAGCCTGGATGGTCCCTTTGGGACATTTCTGGAGACAGAGTAACAGTAGCTTAGTGATGCAATGACTAGGAGCCATACCTTGATGAAGCTCTTGATTTCTCCTTCCATCCATCCACTGATTACTTCCGTAACTTCCAATCCCATCTCTCTCACGGACTCTCTCTCCCTCTGTGTCTCTGGTCGTACCAAATATGGCAGTATTTGATAATGTTGTTATCGCGAAATTAAAATATTTTAGTTCACAATGGAAGAAATGACGGTTTCTTTGGTATTATATACTGCAACAAGGCCGCCAACCTATGTGTATATATCTACCGTATTAGGAAGGAAAATGTCAATAATGGCACCGTCAAAAATTGACTAGCGAAGAAGACATTCTATTATAGCAAACAAAATTTATTCGTTGTATACATACATATAGTCAATTCATCGTAACGAATATTGGTCAAACCCTGTTAATCACACAAGATGAAAAAGCACCTGCCCAGTTTTATTTCTTACGGAGACTTCACTCAGCATTTTAAATTTTTTTAACCGTGAAAAGTTACCAAGTTCAAAAATCCTACTTCAAGAATGGAAGCACGGGAAAATTGCTGAAATTGGGTTCCTTCTTTAACCAGTGGGTCAGGCTTGTGGGTCAACTTCTGATATTTGTATTGGACCAAATGGAATAAAAGCCCGTAAAGTAGCGGCCGACATTAATAAATTTGCAAGCCATCCACTCCGTCCGTCTGATCCAGTGACCAGCTTAAAATAAACGTGGAATCAGTCCAAATTGCCTTGCAGAATACCGAACGCACGCTTGTTTCAAATTTCACAGTCAAAAATCTTGCAAATGAAGGTTTAATTTCGTTAAATTTTTTTGCTAAATAAATTTAAGCATTGATAGTGACACTCGCACATGAAAAGTTTGGAATGCCATTAAGAAATGAGCTATATACCAGAAAACATTTTTTAGTCTGCTTGGGTTGGAATTTTTTTTTTCAAAAACAAATTTCTTTTCGTCATAAACACGTTTTTTTTAAATAAAAATAAAAAAACAACAAATAACTTCCAAAAAATTTTGCTAAATACAATCTTCAATCCACGCACTAGACACATCACATCACATCCTCATTGACTTGCATAGGCCTAGGCAAGAGGGTTCTTTCTTTCTTCGTAGCCTAACTTGTCTTTTTATTGTTAGTGCACATATCCGTTTGGATTAGCTGTTTTTGGGGTTGTTTTCCAAAAACAATACTGTAGCATTTCGTTTTTGAAATACAAATCCGTTTGGATTAGTTGTTTTTGGGGTTGTTTTTCAAAAACTATATGAAAAACTTTTACTGTAGATGTTTTTTGGATTATTTTTAGAGGTATTTTTAAAACATATTTTTGAGTATTTTATAATTTATAATTTATATATTTTTATATTTATATACATTTATGCATTTATAATACATTTATAAATATTTATAAATAAATATATTTATATATTTATATAAAAATATATCAATATATTATAAATGTATTATATTATACATAATACATAATATAAATATATTTATAAATGTATATTATTATAAATGTATAAATTATAAATGAATATTATATAAATGTAAAAATTAAAAATTAAAAATTAAAAATTTTATATTTTATATAAATATATATTTATGCATTTATAATACATTTATAAATATTTATAAATAAATATATTTATATATTTATATAAAAATATATAAATGTATTATATTATATGTAATACATAATATAAATATATTTAGAAATGTATAAGTGTATATAATTATAAATATATAAATTATAAATGAATATTATATAAATGTATAAATTAATATATCATAAATATATATTAATATTATGTATAAATGTATTAATATAATTAATATAAATATATAAATGTATTAATATTATGTATAAATGTAAAATTAATACTATGTATATTAATATAAATGTATCAATGTATTATATTATATATAATACATAATATAAATGTAAATTATAAATATACATAAATATATATATTATGTATAAATGTACATTTATATAAATGTATAATCTATATAATATATATTATATTATATTATATATAATTTTATAATATATATTTTTTGCATAAATATATTATAAATATATAAAAATATAAAAATATATATTAAATAAATAAATTATATATATTATGAATGAATAAATTATATATAATATGAATAAATAAATATATAAATACATTATTTATAAATATTTAATATATATAATATACATTAATATTAATTATAAATATTTGAATATTAATAAATATGGTGTTTATATAATATTTCAATTTGTAATATTTATTGTATATTTCATTATATAAATATTTATATAATATATAAATATATAATATAAAATTTTGCAATTTGTATAATATACATAATATTGTATATATATAATATAATATACATAATATACATTTATACATTATTACATATTATGTATATTATATATTATACATAACTTTATTATACATTATTATACACAATAATGTACATAATAATGAAAGTACATTAATAATGTATATATTATAATATAATGTACATAATATATTATGTATAAATATTTATACATTTATGTATACAATATTACATATTATGTATATTATATTATATTATGTATAATATTAATGTATGTAAATATTTATATAATATATAATATATAACATATATAACATATAAATATATAATTTTCATTTTGTATATTTCAATTTATATATTCAATTTACATATTTCAATTTATATATTTCAATTTATATTATATTAATATAAATTGAAATATACATATTAAATTTGTATATTTGGAGTTGTTTTTGATATAATGTTTGGATATGGGTGTTTTTGAAATTGTTTTTGAAATACACATTTACTGTAGCATTTGGAATGTGAAAAACAGTTTTTCAAAAACAGGTGCAAAAACAAGGAATCCAAATGAACCCATAAATTGTTGACATATTATTATTAGTACAGAAAACTAATTTCTAGGTCTCCATTCTACCCATGGATGCGTTTACAGTCAAAAGTAAGTCCACTCATGTACGTGCCTAGACACTCTTCACAGCTTGTCTTCATTCCAAAATCCAAACTAAGATAGGAAGTAATTGTTTTTTTTTTTTTTTTTAGTGGCTTGCTAGGCTCAATCATTTGAATAATACTAGTAATATAATACTTTTTCAAGAAGATATGATCAATTTTTCCCTTTCCTTTACGTTAAGTAATTTTGCATTTAAATAATATGTGCTGTTTACCGTAAAAGGATTGAAATTAGTTCGGACTACATGATGATGAATCAAGAATATAAATTACATGCACATTCAGCGATTGTAGTTTCGTACGAAGCACTCGCGTACTCAATACAACAAGACAAGACATGCACTCACTCAATCATTGCCCATACAATAATGGGAATAATAAATAATAAAATACTCAACCATATAATTCCGGAATGCTGCTCTGGAGACACATCATCTCATCCATATATATATATATATAGTTGTTCTATTTCTTAGTAACTTGCCTGCATGGAACGGATTACAAGGTACCCCTGAAATCAAGAGTAAGAAACCACTCAACTTATTATTATTTTTTTTTTCCATGTCCGGGGCTAATCCCTTCAGGTTGGGTAGAGGTTTGTCTCAAAAATACTCAATAACGATAGCACGTGAGGGTCGAACCTGGGATCTTACTGTAATGTTACAGACGACTAGTCCCAGCCGAGCTACACACGGAAGGCCACTCAACTCACTATTAGTACTAATTTTTTGGATAAAAAGAATAAAAAAAAATTCCCGTGTTCATATAAAAGAACCGGGAATTAAGAGGAAACTGAATCAATCTGAAGAAAAAGCAAACGAAAGACCTAAGAATAATAATTTAGACGTCAAAAAAAAAAAAACAATTTAGCACATAATTTTCTCGATCTCTCATAATTGATTGCGTGGTAAGTTGGGGAATGCATCGCCACTTTATCTGGGAATGGGCATGTGATCAGCCATGTGAGCATTGATTACACGTCCTACCAATAAACAAATAAATTCACACGTGCCCTGTGGTCCCCATTTCCATAGTCCCAGCGACTCCGGTGATTCCTGGAAGAAAATACCCTTTTGCAAGAGCAGCCAAATTAACCAAAACCAATAATAGTAGCTCACTTGACTTGGATATATTTGGAGGTTTTCTTTTTCCCCAAAAGGAAAAAGAAAAAACAAATTCAATCCAGCAAAATAAACCCTTGTTATCGTGTTTTATATTTGTATTTTGATTTTTTCTTCTATTACACATGCACGAATGCAAATCAAATTTGAACCATATGTGCGAAATCAATGAGAAACGAGGAGGGTTCTACGGTTGCATGAAGCTAGCACATCCAACTTTCTTCTGCCTTTCCTGTTGGTTTTTTTTTTTTTGCGTTACTTTAATGTTTTCAAAGGACTAAGATGTACAGTATATGATTTCTACAGGGAACCACACATTTCTATTTTCCTTCACAGGTCAATGTTGTAGAACGATTACCAGAATTTATCCACAATCTCCAAATTGGAAGGAAAGCAATGCAGTATTCAGATATAGTACTACTGTCCAATCACAATTTTGAGGACCCGTTACTGCGGACAACAAGAAATTACAAAAAAGAATTTACCCCCCCCCCCCCAAAAAAAAAAAAAAAAAAGAAGCTAGAAGAAGAAGATTCATTAGTACGTCGTCCTTGGTATATATAACTGGACACAAATTACAGTCGAGTTTTATGTTACGACTGGGTTGCAGGATATATTGCGAATTAGCTAATGAAAAGAAGATGAATTTAGAAAAAGAAGCTCATGGTCATGGGTTTAAAAGACAAATGTTTATTTCTTCCCCGCGTCATTTACTTGCAGAATCAGGGAAGAGAAAAACTTGCAGTTGATTTACGAGTTATTCTTCAAATCTATGGTTGCTTTTTCTTCATCATCTTCTTCTCCTCAATTAATTTGAAGATTCTACTATATATCACTTTGATGAGCTCGAGTTCCTGTCTCTTTGAGATGCAAGGATGGCGTCTATGGCTTCTTTTACTTGAGAGAGGTCGGGAGCTTTTGCACCTTGAGCTGGCCAAAACTCATCTGTAGCCAAAACCTGGGAAAAAAACCATGGTGCGTTGTAAAATTTTGTCAATTAAAAATACATTGTCCATCTAGTTTTGTCAGAGCTGGGGGAGTATGGGACATGTTGAACAAAATATATTGCAAATCATCAGAACTGACCTTCACTTGCAACTGAAGAAACTTGACATAACTGATTGCCTTTTCTAACATGGTTACTAAATCAACCTGCAAAAACATTAAAGAAACAACAAAGGACAGTTCCTAAGCTCACTCCTGCATGGGCTTTGTTTCTATTGGCGCATGCACTTGAGAAAATGATTCGGATGGTATTACGTAAAACAAGTAGAGAGAATATGCAAAAAGCTTTTACCTTGGAGCCATTTGGGACAAGATCCTGTAGTATCTTGAGCCTCTCGCTAATACGTTCTCTCCGATTCTGCAACGCAAACATTCTTTCCAACTTTATACTCAAAAGCAGATTTCCTTTGGATCGATTAAAATTTAGATCTACTTTACAAAGAAGCAAACCTTGGCTGCAACGCTTTGTGGGTCCTTTGATGGGGTTGACTTTGATTTGAGGGCCGTAGTCTTTGTAACAGATGTGCACTGCTTCTTCAATGCTTGTGTGCTCTCTTCCTGCAATATATAACATCAGTTGTATGATTAAGTTTAGAACTTGAGTTGTAATTAATTAACCAATAGTATAATTGAGATCAGTCTCAAGGAAAAATTGATGTCCTAAATAGATGGGATCATGAGAAACTACCGTATAGGGACGTTTAGCACTCGTGCAAGCCTCTTGTCTTCCAAGATCCTGGATGCTATTATTCTTGCTGGCATTTGCATTGACTTCTGTGCTATGCCATCCAAATGGGACCCCATTACTTGTGGATGCATAGCTGCTGGAGGATTGGTTATTGTTGGAATTCTCCAACGGCCGGGGATTCGGGGTACTGCACCTTGAATTATTCAGCTGGTCCTGGTAAGTGAAGTGCAAATTGTCTTCCCAAACTGAGTAATCATCTTGGGTAGTAATTATTCCGGGAAAAGAGTTCTGAGAATGATCAAAACTGAGCAAAGATCCACCCGCATTTGCGAAGTCACCATAAACACCTCTGAAGTTGATCACAGAATTCCCATCCTCAGGCAGAGTTTTTATGCCTTGTTGATATCCTAATCCATCAGAATTCGTGCTGCTTGGACTGGAAAGTGAAGAAGGGCTAGTCACACCAAAGTTCCTGGGGACTCCTGTGGATTTATCTGAGCTGCTAAGCCCTGGGAAAGCATTCTGTGAAACTTCTCTAAACTGATCATTTTCATAATGTGGATGGGGCTGAATTAAGCACAAAGTAGACTTTTTAGGTGCATGGTCTTTGACAAGTTCCATAGGTAGAGGGAAATGAAATGAGCAGAAAGAGCTAGTACCCTTGCTAGCTCGGCTTCAGCGAAGACTACTGATGCTAGGTGTGGGAATTCAAACTTGTTCTTACTTCTATTATATAGCAGTGATTTTTCTGATATTTTTATCAGCAGAAATTCCTAAACAAATGATACTAGTTGAATGAAGCTCAAGAAGTCCAATTAATTGTCATGGGAGCAAGAAACCTTTGGCTTAAGTGTACATAGATGCAATAGAACTTGCAATATTTTTTATTCAATCAGTGTATGGGGATTGTTAGCTGGCAGAGGTGAAGACTCCCTAGCCAGATGGAGAAAGAATTAAAAGTGTACTGAAGATAAAAGGGGCAAATCAGCAAAACCATCGGCGGATCTTTCGCCATCCCACGTCTAAGATTCCCTCGCCATTCTTACTTAGCTATATCTCACCTTCAAGAACCTGGACTCTTACCAATTTTCTCGAGGGGGCTTTCCTTCCTGCTTTCCTCTTCACTTCAGAGAGCCATAAGCACGTGGATCTTGGTCATTTTATATTACTTGTTACATTCTGTATAGGTGTTAAGCTGGCCATGGATTGCTTACTTTCTTGTTAAATTTTAGGCACCAGCTCCTGATTGGCATCGCACCAGTCCAACGCTTCTCTTTTGACAAAGGGTAACAGTTGTACTTCAAATAAACAACACACTTCAGTATATTAGTAGTATCTGTACATCCCCTAAGGTGTATGGCTTCTTGGAGTTTTCTGATCAGACATCAAAAGCTACCATCATTTGACATTCCATGCGGAATTAAACAGACTTTTGTTGTTCTTGATTTGCATATATCAAGAATTCGCCGGTTACAACTGCGCAACTAATAGTTAAGATTAGTTGTGGAAGCCTTCAGAAGAAAATTAATTTTTCCTCAGTTGGACGAAAGGGCTACTGGTAAGGAGATAAATAGATGAGATTGATCTAATTGGAGCAATATGATGAACACCCGGGTGGAGCATTAATGGTTCTGGATTGCTTAGCTCAACTCATCGTCAACAGTCGGCAAGGAAGGAAGTACAGTATTACTGTATCTTCTGCAAACCCGATGAAGATTGCCAACCACATGAGTAATGTTTGTTTTCCCATGGGGAACGAGAATAATCAAAGCTGGCATGGGAGTAAGAGTAATTCCCTGTCTCAAGGAGGTTCGTTGTTCCTTCTTTCTTGTGCTCACAATCACAAGCCATACGCGACAGGCAAAAAGGTTACTGATATCATAATCCCACAGGTCACAGGCCCCCATGTTCATTCAACACCCACATTCGCTTTTATCCAAGGACAATATACATCAGTAGTGTGATTGATTATTAACAACAGCTAAGAACTTGTTGCATTAATAGAACCTCAAATTCTGAGGTCAAGAATCCCCATTGGATATTTTAGAAGTGGTCACGTCATCTTTTTTTTCTAGACATTGGTCAGGAGAAACATGAAGATGGTCATAGAGGAAATGGGAAATTCTCATACTATTACCAAGTTCTTTCAGAAAATATCTTTTCATATGCCCGATTGTTTTCGGAGGGACTCGAAATTTGTGTAAAACACCTTAATAGTCAAAGCCACATGCATGCATCGATCATGACTGAATATGACCTTTTTTTTTTTCACATTTTAAGATGGAGAGCGCTTCTCGACTACATTCTCAAAAATAGGTAAAAATAATTACTACAAAGAATAAGAAAAATGATAAAGCTTTGCCAATCGGGTTCAACATATAATGACATCCTTGTGCATGCCGCAGCGTGTGTGGACAGGTTCATCAGATACCTTTCTGATATGATCTCAGCTAACTATTTAAGATTCTGACCGCAGCAGGAACGCATAAAAGGGCCAGTAAAAAGGTTAAATTACAAAGAAACGAACACAGGATGTCAAAATCAGCACAGGAAAATTTCGAGCTGTTTTTAACTGGGAATAAGAGGGGAACAATAAGAGGAGAGTATAGGTATTTGAACCATTTAAACACAACCAGAAAATCCATAAAAGCATACCATTTAATGCAAGGACCTATACACACAGAGATAACTGATATCCCCACTTCCCTGCAAACCAGTTTTACATATCAAATCTACAGATTATGTTCGTCTAACATGACACAGTTTCATGTCCCAACATGAAAGAGAACTAAGGTAGATCTATCACTACGAAGTAAAGAAAAGGAAAAAAGCTCTTCCAAGCGATGTTGAACCGGAGAAAGCCTAGTTTTGGCGCCATACATCAACAAAACCTGCAGTTAAGATCAAGAAAAAGTAAATTGGAGGAGCATGATGAATGAATTATCCAACTCCATGAGAGACCTTAAATCTTGGCTCACCTAAATAGAAGCACTGCCAGCCTCTCATTGGGCCACTGAACAAGAGGGAATCTGATTCAGAGGTCCTACAGCAACAGGTATCCTGTATTCATAAAGAATGTGCTGATTAAACGAACAAAACTTTATCATGAACTTGAAGACAAAAAATAGAGATCTGACTCCATCAGAGATCCACGAGCATAACTGAAGAAACAGGTCTACCCATGCAATAAGACAATCATGAGATATTTGGATCATCATATCTTCACATATATTAAGAATGTCAAACACATAAAGAGAGTAAGTTATCCATGCGGGCATTGCGCCGCAAAATACTGGATTACAAGCCACTCGAAGCAACTATTGCCACTTTCATTTTCTAACTTTTCAATATCTCAAGTCATAAGGTTGCCTTCAATAGTCCAGAATTGAATACCATTCATTTCTTTTCCTTCATACTAGCTGTTGAAGGAACTCTGACATTCAGCGACAGAAAAATGATTCAGTCATTAAGTTATAAACCTATTAAGTGAATTGACAGGCCTTGAACTTTTGAATCTTACGCTGCATAAGTATTTATCAAAGATCTCTAAAAATATTATGACCCTCCGCCATGCCTGAGAAAATGAATAGAAGAAAAGCATGCTGAATTGAACAACTTTTCGTCATTTCCTCTTTTAAAGGGACGAAAAGACTTCCATATGCATGTGAGCAGGCTGCAGTGCTTCAAGGCGAAACATATATTCTCTCATGAAAGACATTCCACGGGAGCAAAAAGTAGACATATGCCCATCTAATAAAGGATCAACAAGTAACTTAAACCTGACACTTAGCAACTTCTGATTGTCAACGAAGTAGATTAAGTAGAGCAACAGAGAAGTCTCGGGCAACATAAAAATTTTAAGCACCAGATGGAGCTACTTAGTTCATTACATGCAAAAGAAGAACATACCAAGCATAAATGTATATTTCTTAGAGGACAGTGTCGCCACATACAAAGGTTATAAGAGATAAAGTGCGAAGGATTAACTGGGCAGTATTACTTACTGAGGACCAATTTGCACTCCTACTTTAGCCTTCTTTTTGTTTTTACGACTCCGTTTTACCCCAGAAGTTGAAGAATGCAGAGGCTGTCCTAACACTGGAGGTACAAATACAATGGGAGGAGCAACTACCTCAGTGCTGGTTTCAAGTTTTGGCTTTTTGAATGGATGAAACGGTACATGTGTGGCATGTGTCTTGGCAGATTCAGCCAAGCTAGGAAAGCTGGCAGCAGTTTTACCAACTTGAGCAACTTTTCCTTTACTCAACAGGACACCAGGGTCCTCCCATGCGTTTACAGAGTTCACTGCACTGTGAATGCTGTTAGCATCCCTAATTTTGTTTACTGCTGCATAAAGCTTGGACTTCGATTTGATTATCTCAGACATCACTGTGGCAGATGCAGAATCTGCAGAGTCTGAATAGGCCAAGAAGTCAAACAATGTGCGTAAGAAACACATTACCAGAAGAATTTATAATTTCAGACAAAAGTAAAGAAGTACCTAAAATTGAAAGAATGATGGCTCGTGCTGCCAATTGTTCAGCCTCTTTCTTGTTTCTACCTTTATCTCCAGTATAACTAACACCATTGAAAACTAATGTAGATACAAAAACTGGAATCAAGCCTCCTGGTTGAATTGTATTATACGCTGGTTTCTCTAGATGCATCTTAACAGCATACTCATTCAGGATGGACTTGCAAAAAGTTGTATCCTGAAAAAAAGAAAGAGGGAAAGCAATCAAACTGACATCATGAGCAATATACTAGATCATTCACAACAAAAAGAATTCAAATATATTGGACATCATTTGTTTATTCTTTCAACCAACAAAAGAAGGCCAGGTTACATCCATCACAACAACCATTAGATCAAATGTGTAGATGAGACATGCTTCGGGAATTTAAGCAAGGCAAAAACTCTGCAAGCACTAATTAACACATTGACTTAGCAAGAAATATATGATGAAACCAAATGTGTATCAGCTCATGAATAAATTCAAGAGAATTCTCTTACTACACCATAAATATGAGTCATGCCATCATTATTGCTTTCTTCTAAGGATTTTCAAAAACCATGAAATATCCCAAAAAAGCTAATAATTTTACTCGACTAAACAATGTACATGAATAATCTCCAGTACGTGACAAACTAAAATCCCCTACAGATTAAATCCAGAAAAAAGCATGATCTGCTCATCTTCCAAGGTAAGTCAACTAACACAAGCACATTTAAAAGGATATCTGAAATGGTAAGCTCAATATCATTCATAAAACGGTAAATAACAAAAAAGCCCCTTGTGGTAAACCTAATATACAGAAAAGCCCCCTCGTAGTTTCAAAATGTACAAAACAACACCTCATGCTTTGAACCAATTTGTAAAGGTGATGGAATCCGTTAAAATTAACGGAAATGACTTATTGGAACCTAAAAAAAAAATTTTATACCTAATTTTTAACAAATATACCTATTCTACCTTTTAGCCCCCAATTCTCTCTCTCTAGAAAATGAAACAAATAATTTTGTTGAGCCGTCTTTTGCTTAGTTATATCAGGGCATTTTTGTCATTTCGTCCGTCCACGTTAAGTTTAACAGATTCGGTCACCTTTACAATTTAGTTCAA